CGGCCAGCCGAGCCCAGGCTGAGACGTCCCTGCCCTGTGCCTCCCCCAGCCCGTCTTCTCCCCTGCAGGTGAGGTTTGCAGGAGGGAAACTGAGGCACGGTGGCAACTGGCACTCGGGACGGGGTTAAGCACACGTGGCGGAGGGGGCTGGCCCCAGGGCGGCGGGGCTGTGGCTCTCCTGGGCATCTCCAGCACCCAAGGGACAAGGCTCTGGACCTGGTGGATGGCGGGCACAGACACAGGGACAACCAGGAAGGGAAGAGTCAGGAGAGAGGGCCAGCAGCTGGGTTGTTTGGGCTACCAGGACAGGGGGCTTGTGGGAGGGAGAGCGCTTTGGGGGGGGGTCTCCGTACAGCCCTCGTGAGGCACCACCTGCAGCCAGGCTGGGAGGGAGGACAGAGCCCGGGACGGGCTGGGAGAGGGGGCAGTGATTTGGGGCTGGAGGTGAACACTGCAGGAGCGGAGAGCTCTGGGAAAGCAGGGCTGTGGGAGAGCAGCGGGGGGGAAGTGGGGCAGCCTGCTCTTTGGGAAAGGAACCAGCACACAGGCACGTTTCTGAAGTGCACGACACGCTTCGCCGTGGCAGGGCCACCTGGCAAAGCGTGCCATCACCCTGGGCCCCTCTCCAGCCCCAGCTGAGCAAATGTCCTGCCCTGGAGACAGCGTGACCCCCGGCCACCCGCACTGCCCAGGATAAGGCCTGTGGGGCCAGGATGAGCTGCCCCGCTGCTCCCCCAGCAAGGTGCCAGGATCGTGCGGAGCAGAGAGGAAAAATGATCTTTATCCCACAGCCGCAGGATGAAGTCTGAGTCTGCATTCAGCCGACTTCTGCATCTGCCCATCTTTGGCTTTGCAACCACATTGCTCTTCCGTCCCTGTTCGATGTGGAGCCTGCAGACTCGGGGGCTATTCGGAGAACGACTGCTCCCACCCCACCCTCCATGCATGGACACCCGTCGCACTTTCCCAATGCCATGGCCTGGCAGAAAGCCGAGGCGGGCACCACCAGTGCCCACGGGCTGGCCAGGGTCCCGCTACGGCAGCGGCATGCTCGCCAATAGCCATGCACAGCTGGAAAGTGGTATAAAAATGGTCCAGCTGGAGAAGCAGGGGCAGGCCGGAGGGTTGCACTGGATGTGGATTTAACCCGAGCACCCTGTGAGCTCACCGCGTGAGGGGGCAGGAGCTTGGCAGCACCAGGGGAAAAGCCTCCCGCCTCCCCAAATGGGCAGCATCGAGAGCACGAGCTTAGCAGAGCTCTCTGTGCAGCGGCGAGGTGCAAAGCTGGCTGTGCTAAAAAAAAACCCTGCTGACAGCTGGAGGGGCTTAAATGCCTGCCGAACCCTTGGGGGCAGCTGCAAAGGCAGCGGGCTTGAAAACAGGACAGCCTGGCGCTGGGGTGCAGGCACATATGGCGCCCGAGCACCCAGCCTGCGGGCCCAATCCTCTTTCCATCCTCACCCATTTCGGGGCCAGGGTGCCGGGGCAGAAACCCTGCCCCATGCCCGGGCCAGACAGACAGCCCCCAAGGAAATCAGCCATCACCAGGCATCTTTAAGTGATATATGTATTGGGAATTGACACACTTCTCTCTGCTTTTGGTTTTGTATAAGGAACCTGCCTTTATTATTTGGTACATACATGTATGTAATATGTATATCAAAAATAACTGGAGGAAACCATGGTGTGCTTAAAGCCATGTGAGAAGGTCCCTCTGAAAGCAAGCACTCCAAGAAGGTGTAGAGTAACCCCACGCGGGGAGCCAAGCCTTGGACAAAGAGGATGTTAAAAAGAGAATAAAAAGGGGCTGTTTGCAGAGATTAAAATGTGCAATTTGCTCTGGTCATAGAAGGACCAGAAATCCAGATTAAATCGCTGCCCTGGAATAGCCCAGAGAGGAGAGCACAGGGCGAGCTGTGAGCGCACACCCGGCGTAGGAGAGAGACTGCCGGGTGCAAGCCACTGTGAGCATCCAAAAATCACTCACCCCAGCTATTTTTTCACTTTTTTGGAGGATGTTTTTGTCTCGTGAAATTGCTCTCCCATCCCCAGGTGGCAGCAGGCAAACTCCCGGGGGACCCCAGCGAGCCAGGCCCTGCGGCAGGGGGAGCGCTGGGCTCAGCTCAGGGGGCGCCTCGCTCCTTCTCCCCTTGCAACCTGGGTTCAAACCTTGAGTGCTGTGATTGTCCTCGGCCTCCTAAAGCTAGGGAGCATGGTTTTCCTCTCACTAAGCTGCTCGTGACGAGATGAGGTCCCCATCCTTGGCCGCGCCGCTGCCACGGAGGCAGGGAGCCAGCCACGAGGCAGGGCTGCGTGCCGAGAGCAGAGGGATTTACCTCCCTGCAGCACCAGGACACGGCTACACGTATGCACACACACACACGCACAAGTTGAGCACACAAGAAACACGCTCGGGTGACAGCCGGGAGGGAAAGTGAGGTCCCAAGAGCAGGGCAGAGCCTGAGAGCAGGGACGGGGCTGAGCTCAGCGCTCAGTGCTGCGAACAGCGATTGCAGCCGAGCAGGGCACAAACTCCCCATCCATCAGCAAAAGGGAGCATGTCCACGGAGCCGCTTTTGGGGTGCTCTCACCTTGCCGAGGGTGCTGGCTGGGACACACCAGTGCCCACAGGCCGAGCGCTGAGCAGGAACATGTTGGGCCACTGCGATTCACTGATCCTGAGCCCTGATGCCTCCTGCTTTTCCGGCTCCCTGCAGCCGCAATGCCGCTCTCCTGCCCTGACCTCAGAAATTCGGCATGGCCGTGGCGCCCACCGTGCCCAGCACCTCCTCGCCCAGCATCAGCACCATCAGCCACTTCCCCAGGCTCCAGCAGCCCCACGCCAGTCTGCTCCGCCGGGACGAGAGCGGCAAAAGGGCTCCAGCGCAGGCGGCTCCTGGGAAGGACTGGCGGGCACTGGGACGGGCAGGAGAGGAAGGGGGCCACCAAGCATCCCGCTCCGAGGACCTGCCCGGGTTTGTTCGGGAAGGACTGGCACGACGGCACAGGGGTCTGCGTCACTACCTACGCCCCAGGAACCGGGGCCAAGCGCCTGGGAGCTACGGACACACGACAGCCAAGGGAAAGCAGCGGCGTCCCCGAAGGGCTGCTCCGGGGCGAAGCGGGGTGGCACGCCGTCCTCCCACTTCAGAGCCCTTTGTTGAAGTAGATGACCTCCAC